TTTCTTAACAAATATTTGCATATTGCAATAACGTATTCTGTAGCCAAAAAAAAATGGTAATAATTCATTGGAAGGTCTGTAAACGTGCGAATTTTAGTATATAATGATTTATTATATCATGATGGATGTTATTTGAGCAGATACAGCGACTAAAAACATCAAATGTATGTGAGTATGGGGAGTACGCATGCGCAGTTACAAGAGTGATGCGGCCAATTTTTCAGTTTGACAAAAAGGCAGTACCCTTTCCGAAGACAAAATGGCGATAGTTTTGTGTAGGGTCGATTGCGATCTTCGGTTTGTATCAAAAGCACGTCTCACAAATGAAATATTTATATTTTGAGCGATAATTTGATAGCAATTAAACAAATTTCAATCGTTGGCATATGTAAGGGCCGGATCACTTACTTTCAAGGGCTCAAAGTCCGGACGAACATTAAACTACGATGTTTTTATTTATCTGTTCTAGGTGTGTTGTACAGACTTTTTAGTTGTACTATTTTGATGATTTAATTTCAAGAATCTGTCAATAGCGAAATTTGCCCATTGCATCAGGAAGATCTATCCTGATTTGCTGCACTGAGGTTAATTGTGGTTTTTACTTCTCCATCGCTAATGACACTAATTACCAAGAATTAAAAAAACAAGTGAAATTAAGTCGCATTGGGAAAAAAAACCCATAAGAAAATCAAAGCAAATATTATTCAACTGCAGACGAGACAAACCCAGACCTCTAGAAATACCTCATTCATAGAGTGCCTCATTAGTGCCCCTTGTTTACAAGTATAGTGTCCTTGCATGTTTTTCAAAATGCTCATATCAAAATCATGTGTTTCCATATACAGCATGTCATAGATTCTCAGACATCTTGATCAATTTTATTGATAGATTCACCTATCGTACTTATCCGGGTAAGAGCCCATGCCTGAACAAACGCCGCCCCCACTTTTTCTACCCAAAACAAAAAACCCAAAAAAACTATTTTCTATTGGTTGACTGTGGTTGTATTAACAGTTGACTTTCTTGAAGTCTGTCGTGATACTTATAAAAATTGTTAATTGCGTAAAACAAGTCAGCAAGTCTATAAAAATAAATATTAAAGCAGAAAGTGTGTGTGTGTGTGTGTGTGTGTGTGTGTGTGTGTGTGTGTGTGTGTGTGTGTGTGTGTGTGTGTGTGTTCTCAAGAACCATACATCGGTTTTTGATGAAACTTGGTGCATAGATGCTCTGGGCCAATGCGCAGATTTGATTAGGTTTTTATTCCATGCTCGTTAATTACCTAATTTGCATGATAATTACCTAATTTTTAGCTGTTCTATGACTGTTCCACTGATATCTAAAGAACCACTCATTGGATTTTGATGAAACTTGGTACATAGATTCTCTGAACATATGCGCAGATTTGATTAGTTTTTGGTGAAAATCCGTGCATATTAATTACCTAATTTGCATGATAATTAGCTAATTTTTAGCGGTTCCATGACTGTTCCACTGATATCTAAACTAACCACTCATTGGATTTTGATGAAACTTTGTACATAGATGCTCTGAACTAATGCTAGGTTTTGATTAGTTTTTGGTAATAATCCGTGGATACTAATTACCTAATTTGCATAATGATTAGTCATGTTTCAGTTTTTTCACTGATATTTCAAGTACTAATCATCACATTTCAATGAAACTTGGTACATAGA